AAACCCACATCTTAAACCCAGATAAACAGAAACATGGAACTCTAATAATAGACATCATAATCATCACCATAACACGACAAGAGAACAAGAACACAATCCCTGATGCAAACTTAAATCAAAACACAATAAACTCAAAATACTGGGTCCAACGGACCCAGAACCGTGACAGTGTTCCTCTGTCGCGCTGTTTGTGAATGTGTAAAAATTTTGAAACTTGCATAAATAAATACATTAAAAATAATAATAATAAAAAAAAGATTAGCAGGACTGTTTACTTCTGCTTTTGTACATGTTGGTTTGTTAAAAGGTCATGCCCTATATGGAGTGACTTGAGAAGAGGTCGCGTCATGTACGATGTGACAGGAAAATCTCACACACACACACGCTCTGCTTAACTACTTGTAATTGCTGGTTGTCAATAAAAGAGACGATGAGGGAAGTCGGAGAGTGAACTTCCCTTGCGGGCAAGTAAAACCGACTGAGCTCCGAGTGTCTTGCACAGTTATGGTCTCTGAGACAGCGAGGTCTGCAAGTTGAGACCTAACATGTTCAGTTTCTATGCCATATGTTAAAACAAGATCTAGAGTGTGATTGATCTGCTGTGTCAAAAGGGTCATGTACTGTGGACCTAATCAATTCATGAATTGATTAGGTCCTGGCTTCTTTCAAACATGCTGTCATACAGCCCCCTCATCAAAAAGAGCAACTTGAACTCTTGTGTTTTTTCTAATTTCAGACCCATTTTGGATACTATATTGTTTTGCTTTGATTTTTGTTTCAGATTTTTGGCTTGGAAGCTGACACAGTCTGTCAGGTTTATATTGTTGATTGTCATTTATGCTTAGAAATATTTAACCACATATGCTTAGAGGTGTATAATCGATTGTGTAGTGATAGGATGTGTGATCCTTAGGAGTCTGCAAAGGCTTTGTGTGCATTCCAGAGTGTTCTGGCACTCACACCCACATCCTGGGAGCATGGGAGAGGTCGTACCTGCTCTTATTGTTTTATGGTAGGATCTATGTCTGTTTTACTCTAAGTGCTTTTTGTTTAAATGAACTGTTGGACTTCCAGGTTTAGGGAAGTCTTTATGGGGTCACACTCTGACCACATACACACACACACACACACACACACAGGCAAGGTACTCTTTGTGTGTATGATGTCATATGTTAATGAACCTATGTATATTCATGTACCTCAATAAAAGAGCAGTGTTACGGGGGAGCGGACGAGAGCAACTGGGGTCAAGCGAAGGAAGGGCATTTGTCCAGTTCTCTCCCGTGCACGATAAACATAATGAACTTTGCCTACTTTGCGTCTTGCTTGCTGTGTAATTATATTGTCTTCAACGTTCCAGCGAAAAGGTTTAAGCTACAAACCTATCACAGTCTCTAATGGATGGGGTGTTGGGTGATAACAGGAGACGAGAAGCTGCAGATGTGCTAACACAAAGTCAGAATAGCTTAATTTGTTTTGCAGGATGTTTCACAAAATGAAAATAGAAATGTGGTGGGGCGTGCACTGCGGTGCCATGCGGACACACCTTTAGAGTATCCACAATCACACCTGTTTTGTTAAAACACAGGGAATCAGCATTGGAAGTTGATGTGCACGCCGTATGAGGCCGCTTTGTAGGCGCTCATATCGCCAGTGGCGAGACCCGCGTTGTAGGAGGCGGTCCTGGCGTTTACTGCAGTGCGGATCGATCTGTCCATCCACGGTTTCTGGTTTGGGAATGTGGTGACTCTCGCAGTGGGGATAATCTCCTCCGCTAGCATATTGA